CAGTCCCGCTGGCACCTGTGCCCACGGTGGACCCGCCCCCCCATCCCACCAGGAGGGCTGGGTGGAGGGAACCCCTCCCCTCTGTCCCCCCCTGGGACTAGGGCGGGGTGAGGCTCAGTCCTTCCCTAGGGCACAGCTCAGAACTCAGACCTTGCTCTGGCTAGAGTGGAGCGAGGCGACAGTCTTGGTGCAAATGGGTGCGGGTGGGTGTGGTGCCTTAGGCTGTCATGCCAGAAGGTGGCTTTCTCCTTCAGTAAAACGCGTCCCTGAGGTATGAGTGCCAAGTGTGCAATCTGATGAGCTCTGACACACGCCAAGCACAGACGACTAACACACTACCTGCACTCCTGCAGTCCCACCTGCCGTCCCACCTGCCCGCCCTGCCAGCACATGGTGTGCCCCCTCTACTGCCCGCATCTTCCCATGCACATGGGCCACTGGGCAACCACATCCAGGCTCTCCCAACTCAAAGTCTGCTCTGCCCCTCCCCGAAGGGTGCTCCTCTCATCTTCCCACTATGGGCGGCTGGGTGTCCCTGGACAGCTGTCACCTTGCTATCACCGACACTCATGCCTGCTCTTTGTTTTGCTCTCAACTTTGTTCCAGGGCACCAAGGACCTGGACCTGAGGGCAGGGGGAGCCAGCCATGGATTCAGCCGGCCACGGGTTCACAGCTTTCCTGGCCGGGGCAGAAGTCCCTAGTCGGCATCGGTCCCTGGATGTTCACATCAGGACAAAGCTGCTTTCCTGGGATGAATGAAAACCCTCTAACACCCTCTAAGTCAAAAGATTCTGGGGGGCTGAGTCTACATCAGAGTGACGGAAGTTTGAAAGTGCGGATGAAATGCTGGTGTTGAAGATCTTCTTCTGTCCTTCCTTAGATTAGGTGAGAAACTCCCCTGGAATGGTCTCCAATCTCTTCTGTAACCCAGATTTCCTTTTAGAAGTGGAAATTCCTATTCTGCCCGCTGCCTCTCCTTCTAACCCCCATCCTGTTCCTTTCTCCGAGGAGACAGAAGTGCTAACAGGGCCGGTGTGGTGTGGAGACGTGAGAGGTCAGGTCAGGCACTGAGTTTTAAACACACAGAAGCTGGTTTGAGGCTCACTGGTGGTTGGCAGGGAACGTGGGCATAAGACAGTCATGTCTCTGGGACTTGGCAAAGGTGAGCAATGAACTCTCTCTCATACCTTGGTATAAACCTCAAGTAAAATTCTTTAACATACTGTATGTTTGAGTCAGGGCACTGCTGCTGTAATGTGACTAGCACACAAGCTGAATAGGTGACCCTCTGCTCAGTACCCAGAATTACGTTACGCATTTCTTGGAAAGTAAAATACATTTTGAAATAGTAAAATTGAAAAGTCTGTTCCTAGGAGACCTAATATGAAGTGAGGCAATCTGATCCATCTTCTTTTACAATACAGTCATTGTTGATGTGACAACTGAGTCTCCTATTTTTAGTTCACAAATTATTTTGGAAGTACGTCAAAAACAAATTTAATGGGAAATGTGAAACACAGTGAGAGTGTAGAGACAGTGTTGTAATCCTGGGTGGAACTTTCCAGAAACCTGTCGTCCATCGGTTTCCACCTCCAGAGTCACCACAGTTCCTTTCTATCATACTTTTTCCACAGGCTTCTGCATATTTTGTCTTAGTGAAGTTGTTTCCTCTATTTTCACTCTTTAGAATTAAAATGGAATATACTATTTATTTTTGATTAGTGTTTGCTCTTCAGTTTTCTCTTTTTGTTATTTTTGTGACAGGAGTCCCCCTCCATCACCTTGGGTAGAGTGCTGTGGTGTCACTCAGCTTAGCTCGCAGCAACCTCAAACCCCTGGGCTCAAGCAATCCTCCTACCTCAGCCTCCCCAGTAGTTGGGATTATAGGCATCTACTACAACACCCGGCTATTTTTTCTATTTTTAGTAGAAATGGGTCTCACTTCTGCTTAGGTTGGTTTCAAACTCCTGCGCTCAAGCGACCTTGCCCTCCCAGAGTGCTAGGAGTACAAGTGGGAGCCACCGCGCCTGGCCAGCTCCTTCACTATTACATTGTCATTTGAGAGATGATTATTGATACACTAAATTTCTTATGAAATTTACCTTCTAAGATCCTAAAAACAGAACACAGAGCACTTGTGGTACACATGATACTTCTTTGCTTTTGGATAGGTCCAGTGCCTCATCAGAGTGGCCCAAACTGAGCTCTTCTAGAGGCTGCAGGGGCGCGGGGTGTGCCGGGAGGTGCCAAGGGAGCAGCAGACAGTGACTTATCTGAGGGCTTTTCTCTTGAGACCTGAGCCATGCCTGACACAGCCTGTGAGTTCAGAGTGCTCTCCTGCGCAGGTGGCCTCCAGAGCAATGCTTTGTGTCGGGTCTGTGTGTTTGCTCCATTTGAGCCCCGCCTACATTTCACTGAGGGTTTTCCTTTTGCACCCAACCCCACCCAACTCTAGCCGGTCTGTCTGTCTGTACCGAGGGGTGCAGCAGGGGTGTGCAGGCTGCTCTGGGATGACAGGCATGCTATGTTTTTCCAGACATGTGAGCACCGATGTTCCTTTGCTCCTGCCTGCCATCTGGCTGGGAGGCTCACGGCCCTGTGTGCTCTGGTGCTGCTCTGTAGGGCAGAACACCCAGATTGTGGCCAGGGCTTGGGGGGCAATCCTGACCTACGCCTCTCAGCCCCTCAGCTGCCTACACAGTGGAGGCCTTACACAGGAGTGAAGCACACTTTCTTCCTAAATCTTGTCATCTGTGGGTCCTGTATGTCCCTGGCACGACACAAAGTATTTCACAAATAGTAGCTCACTTAACTTCCAAAGATGATGACCATAGCCAGGTGTGGGCAGACCCGATGCTGTACAAGGTGACACAGCCTACTCAGGGCCACAGTGTCCGAGGGCTGAGCCAGGGCTGGGGTCTGTCCTACGGCAAACCCCAGCTCCTGGGCCCTGTGCACACTCACCCCAGTGAGTGCCCAGGAAGAGGCAGAGGAGAGGGACTCTAGGGTCAGGGGATATTAAGGGGGCTTCACCAATCCCTGGAAATGGCAGAGGTATCACAGGCAGAGAGAGAGAAGCTCCAAGCAGCAGGAAGAATAAGCAGGGTGAAGCCACCACATGTGGCCTTGTCTGGGCATCAGCAAAGCAACCGCTCAGGGGGTGGACTGGGAATAGGAGGTGGGAGATTAGTTAGGACCCGGTTTGGAGGCAGAATGTAGGCTGCAGGAGCAGGATCGCCTGAAAGGTCCTGGGCCCTACAGGTGCAGCCACAATTCAGGAAGGCCGAGGACTGCTATGTGTGTGGCAGGAGCAAGGGTCAGGGCCGCATATTCCCTGGGTTGTGCCTCTGCAGCCCTCTGCCGCCCACCTGGAGCCGAGAGCCGAGGAGCACAGCTCAGAGCTGGGACATGAATGATGCTTGGAGGCTGGTTTCTGGCTGGGACAGATGGGTTGCCACTCAGCACGAATGAGGTGAGGCCTGGCGGGCTACGAGGCAGATGGCCCTGGGTGCTGATCATGTTAGTCACAGACCTCAACCCCCCAAATGGTTATGACTTTGAGGCTGAAACCTCCTTGTTTCATCCTGTTCCCTCAGACCTGGGATTTTCAGGTAGCACACTGACCAGTCTGAAATGGGAATTGTCAGCGGCTAAATGTTCTAGCAGGCAACGGAGCGAGGATGCCTGAGAAGCTGACCAGTGGCCACAGGGTAGTGTCTAGAGTGAAAGACTGAGTGGTCACTCATTTGGGCCTTCGGTGGCTCAGGCCCCCCGTCTGCTTCTGTCTTTCATCCCTCTTTCTCTCAGTCAAAGTCCCCAACCAGGCACAGCTCTGGCTGTCGCCTTCCCTGGTCTGAGAATGGTGAACTTGAGCAGTGTCCCTCGCAGCTGATTCTCCTCACCCCCCAGAGACTCCGGCCTTCCTGCTGTACCCTTGGCCTGGGCAGGCCAGCACTCCACTGGGAGAGGAGGGATGGCACCACTCAGACGCCTACATGGGTCTCCTGCATCTACTTCTCTACCTCTGCAAATTCAGCCTGAAAGGAAGTTTCTGAGCCTCTCTGGGTGTGAGGAACCCGAGCAGACACAGGGTGCGGTTCAGTCCAGAGACGGGGGCAGAGATGTGGCTTGTTTCAGGCACCCGTAGGCTCCCAGCCACGCAGTGTGACGAGGGTTTCTGTGGGATTCTGTGTACAGACAAGGTGGCGATGCTCACGGCTCGGTGTCCGGCCCTGCCACATGGGGAGAGCCCAAGGCTGGTCAGCTCCCGGGCACACGACACTATGCCCCAGGACAGGGGCCCCCACACATCCCGAGGACTCAGACGAAATCACGCTTGTCCTTCTCCCACCCCACCCTTCCTTAAGCGTGGGGAGACCGAGTTTGCTGGCCTGTGCAGTACCTGGGGGGTGAAGCAACTCACAGCACTTGCCTGTACTGCCTTCCCTCCCCGCTCAGCTGCCCCGTCTCACTCCTGCCTTCCCTACAACTGGAGGGAAGGGTGGGGCTTGCTTTGTGCCGGGCCTGCAAGGGTGGGGCTGACAGAGGTGAGGTAGGGACTCACCACTCCTGGGCCAAGAGGGCCCCATCCCGGCTTTCTGCATCGCCGAGGCCACTTTGCAGCCTGACTTCCCTCAGCCCCGTACACACAGCTCAGGGGCTCTTTCCAGTACAGTATTATCAGCGAGGTAGAACTCCTCACGTTCTAGTCACTACTTTCCAATTATAACAGGGCATGTCCACGGTCATCCATGTTGGCACACCTCCCATGGTAATCTCTGTGCACTCACATGCACCAGATCGTACAAAGGCGCCAGGACCTGACACCATCACATCAGGCCACTGTGCGAGCCAGACTTTGTCTTAGGCCCATGAATTTGATCTGGAATATTTTCTGCACCATTTTGCATTATTTACATAGTTAAAAGTAAATAATCACCTGCCCAAGCAAAGCACCCCGAGGCTATGCCCTCTGCCCCTGTGTTCCCATTGCAGGTACCTGCAGGGAGATGCGGCCGATGCCGCTGAGTAGCTGCGGCTCCTGCTCTGGGAGGTGCCTGGCGACCGAGCGGTAAGCCTCCACGGCGAGCACATAGTCCTAGGGGAATGGGGGACACGTTTAGCGCTCGACAAATCCCTCAGGTTTGCACATTCAGAAGAGCACATGTACACAGATGGGTGCGTGGACAGAGGACACGCTGACCTCTGAACTAGGGGAAAACAGGACACCAGAGCAAGGTTCTCAGCCTGAGACCCAAGGGGCTGCCCTCTGACAATCAAACCAGGATTCTGAGATCTGTGTGACACAAGTGAGTGATTCTGGCTGTCCCTGAGGATTATGGGGCTTCTGGTCCCTGTGGCAGCTCCACGCCACCCCACGGTCCTTCCTTAAGGGCAAGGCCTTGTGGCCACCATCTCCCTGTATCTCTGTTGTTGTGGGCGGGTGGCTGATGCCAATTGTATGAGCCTCCAGATAACGTGGGGAGAGACCTAGTCAGATTTCCCAAGTGTGAGGACACTGGTTTCAGAAAAAGGTCTTGCCAAAGGTCAGCTTGTCTCCAGCCTCTAACAAAATATCCTCTTCAGTATGATGTGACATGCTCACCACTAATTGTTGCCACGCAAGCCTGGAGAGCCAGGCGTCATGCCCAGTACCTCCCCGGGGCATGGTCCTGGGTCGCGGAATGTGGTCAGCATAAGCCGGCCCCCATGGGGTTTCCTCCTGATGTATTCAATAAAACCCTGGAAGGTGCCTTCATTTCTTTATTCTGCCACATTTTCAATGTCCTCCAAGCTGGAACTGGAGTCACTAGTTTGCTAATTGGGGTGTTATAGAGAAAGATGACAAGACTCCAGTTCAGCAGGACAAAACGTAAAGACCCCCTCCATTCTGGAACCTTCAAGCACAGCTTGTTAAAACTAATCTCCTTCAAGGCCAGATGCTCAGGATAGATGGCACGTGCCTCGGTCTCCTTTTCCACACCTTGCTCCTGTGAGTGACTGGTGGGGCTGACCTTCTATTGTGTGAGTGTGTGGGCGAGTGTGTGCGCACCTGGGCTCTTGGGGAAGCTGAGGCTGCTGCTGCCTGCTTAGGGCTGGGTCTGGTTTTGGGAAGCTGGGGGTGGCAGCCCCAATTTCAGATGGAGTGGCATCACCATGCAGGGATTGTCTGCTCAAATCCAATGCACACCCACACCCCTTGCTTGTTTCAAGTGAACCAAAGGCAGACTTTGGTTTTCTTTCTTTCTTTCTTTTTCTTTTCTTTGCTTTTTTTTTTTTTTTGAGACAGCCTCATTTTGTCCCCCTTGGTAGAGTGCTGTGGCATCAGAGCTCACAGCAACCTCAAACTCTTGGGCTCAAGTGATTCTCTTGCCTCAGCCTTCCAAGTAGCTGAGACTACAATATGCCTGCTACAACACCCAGCTATTTTTAGAGATAGGCTCTCACTCTTGCTCAGGCTGGTCTTCAACTCCTGAGCTCAGGCCATCCACCTGCCTGGGCCCCTCAGAGTGCTGGGATTATAGGCCTGAGCTGATGCTTGGCCTAGACTTTGGCTTTCTTGTTGTCCCTGAAGCGTCGGTGGGTCAAGCTTGTGTCTCCCTCACCCTAACAATGCTCCTGGTCAGGGTGCCCCCTCCTAGAGAGAGATGCTGTGGGCAGTGTCACTGCCTTAGCAAGTCTGTGTCAGTGCCCAGGAGAGATGACCTGATCCAGCAAAGGATAGGTTTATAAGACCAAACAATGATCTTTTATGGGAAAGGCTATTTTAAAACACTGGTCTCCCAGGAGCATACTTCTGGGTAATGCACAGGCTGGGACCATGTGGGAAAGCTGAACTTTCGGCCGATGGGCAGCTACTCCCTCAAGGCCAACCCTTGGGGTGGACAGGACAGCTGCCAGAAGCTGGCTGTGGGGTGATGAATTCTGGCCTGTAAGACTGTGCTAGAGAGCTTCTTCAAGTTGGTTATTAAATTGTTTATTTATGGGGCAGTGCCAGTGGCTCAAAGGAGTAGGGCGCCAGCCCCATATGCCATAGGTGGCGGGTTCAAACCCAGCCCCAGACAAAAACTGCAAAAAAAAAAAAAAAAAAAAAAAAAAAGAGAGACAATTGTTTATTTACTGGATGGAGAAAATAAAGCTCCTTCAAGGGAAATGGCTAAAAGCTACTCTTCAGAGGCAGCTTGGTCAATTCTCCAGATGACACACATTTGACTTTGAAAAGGACATAAATGACCTGCTTCCAGGGATAAGCCCATTTCAGCTCAATATCCACCCTCTTCTTTCTGCAGCCACACTTGTTCAGTGGCTGTGAAACTAGATTCACAACCATTCTGCAACTGAGAGGACTTGTGGAGTGTGGGTGGTGTGTGTAGCTGCACACACTTTTCTGTGAGAGGAGAAACCAGGCAGGTGCGAGGTGCACGTTGGGTTTGATGTGTACTGGGGCTCAGGAGGCAAGGGACATGTGCACGGGGTGGTCTGTGGGATGGGCAGCCTATGGAGAGTGGGAACGGTGAAGTTTTTAGAGCTTTGTGATACATGCAAACAGGCCTTACAGGAATTATGCAGATATTTGAGGCTGTAATATATGAACAGATTTCTCATCATTAAGAAGTTAAATTAATATTTATTTCATTGTAGTAATAATGTTATTCAAAACAATTAAGTGGCTGATTGAGTAACTCATTGTTAACCCACAGACATAATTTAACTACAATGACACCCCATGTACGAAGACCACACTTCTGCAATACCAAGTATGGCCACTAGATGACCACAGAACGCACGTGCTTAAATCAGCCTTAATTGCAAAATTTTTTCACTCCTTTTTTAACTCATGAAAATGAAAGATTAAGCTAAACTTTCAAATTAAATTATATTCCACTGTAAAAGTATTTCTGAAACACAATAATACGTTCTGTATTAAGTCTCAATAAGATAGGTAGAAGACTTATATTTGGCTCCTGCTGTTATAACTACTCCAACAAAGAAACGTATTTTTGTTCCATAATTTTCTATTATTGTGTCTTTAAAAAGCAAATAAAACCCCATAAGTGTAACAGGTAACTTCCTTCCCTGAAAAGTTTTAACCCATGATTAATGAAACATCAGCCTTGTGAGTTTGTAATTTGTTCAACTCTTTGCATGAGAATGTCCTGGCAAGCTGGTGACCTTCAAGAGAAGCTGACAGCAGCCTTGAGGGTGGAGGCCACCATGGACTGCTCGGGCCAGTAGGTGGGGTGTCAGGGTTGGCCACAGTGGCGCAGGGAGAATGGCCTGCTCTGGAGCAGAGGGGATGGAAGCTGGTCACTGCTGAAGCCTCCTCCTACTCGCAGTGTGACCCCAGTATGGGCTCATGGGGGCTGCTCCTAGCTCTCCTCAGAGGGCCCAGCCCCATGGAAGAAGTCGGGGAGGAGGCAAGGACAGTGGCACAGTGATTGCAAGCAACTGGCCTTGAAAGCAACGTCTCCGTGGCAACAGAGGAAAAATCCTGTTCTGAGCAAAGACACGTAACGAAAGCCTGTACCCTTCTTTTGCTCAGTGTGTGGTAGAGAGGAAAGTGGGGTGTCAGAGCTGGAGGCGTTTCACAGGCTCTAGAACCTCATTCTAAAGGGGGAGGCTGAGGCTCGTGGATGAGGGTGGCAGCATCAAGGTCACTTGCTAGCGGGGATGGACTGCACGTTCCATGGTCCCCCAGAGGCCAGCATCACATCCTGCAGAGGCGTGGGGATTGGGTGGGGTCCCTGGGGCAGGCTGCACACCTTCCTGCCCTAGCTGTGAATCCACCCCCACACCTGCCTGAGGGCCATGGCCACCTCCAGGGCAGCTCTGCAGTGCTAACCTGAGCCCTGGAGCACATCTCTCAGCCTGGCGAATTGCCTGCTCTGCTGTGCTCATTGAGCTCAGGAATGACCTTGGGCAGCTCGACAGTGGCTGTGGGAGGAGTTATGATCTGTCTCAGAACAGCCCAGAAGATGTGGAGCCTCTGGGGGCATCTGCTGCTAATTGATTCCAAACAGCAGCTCTCAGTGCCAGCAGCCAGCCGAGCGCCACCACCCAGCGGCTGCCATGCCTGCGCACAGGGCGCCTTTCAAACAAAGAGAGAAGCCGGAACATGCTGCCGCTCGGGCTGGGGGGCTGCTCCAGCGAGAACACACTGCAAACACAGATGACGACGTCTCGCTTCAGCTCCTTGATTTCTGAGCTGTTTCCCTGGGGGTCTGAAAGCTCTGGGGCAAAGTCCTAAGAAGTAGGTCTTGTAGGAAGGCCTGTCTTCAGATGCCGTAAGCATCAATCATAAAATCAAATTGAGATTAAAAAAGAAAAAGCCCTCCACAAAGACAGGGAGAACCAAGGACACCTTTTTGGAAGGAAATTCAGAGCAAAACCGGGGCAAACAATGATTTTAATTAAATCACTTGGACCCACATTTAATCAATTAAATTTGATAATGTAAATTCTACATTCTGTTGAAATTTCTTACAGGAGAAATGGAAGAAAATTTAGCTCTAGAGCGTATTTCTGGGCTCTGCACAAAGCAGGCTGGGACACGGCTGAGCCCTCTGCTGGGGGAAATCCTCACCTTCCTGTGGTCTCAGCCAGGAGCCCCCAGACTCACGTACCTTCATCAGGAGCAGACAGTTGGCCATGGAGTATGTCACCCGGCCCAGACGCGACCGCCATAGCTGGAGAGACGCTGCAAAGAAAGAGCAGCTCTTGAGTGTGCGAGGGAATGAGGGCCTCTGCCACCCACCCAGGGCCCCTCTCCCTAACTCCGCTGGTTCAGCCTGGGATGTGCATGATGCTGTGAGCCACCGGGGGCAGCAGCAAGCCTAGCACCCTCGCTGGAGCCACAGGAGCTGGCCCTGGGGAGCCTTCCTGTGTGATCGGACAAACATGGATGATGAACAGTCTGGCAATGACAGGTGGGCAACGGCTCTGCTTCAGCCCTGACATGAGACCAGACAATCCGACCAGAACTATGTTTGCAAGCTGGGACCCTAAGAAAACAGTGGATCTGACATCAACGGCCACCATCTGCCTGCAGCTGTGAATCAGCCGGCAAGGCTGGGGGTAGTTGCAGAGACCCCTAAAGCTGACCCTAAGAGGTTACTGCCCACTGGGCTGCACTTGTGCCCAGGCACAGGCCTCCCTGCCACTGGCTGCAAGGAGTGCCACGCCTGGGTGTGAGACTCAAGCACGGGGCTCCACGCCAGTTACCTATGACCTTGGGCCACGGACTGATCTTCTCAAGGCCTGGGCGCCTTAATCTTTTGGATGGAAGTGATCCCTGGAAACAACAGGCTCTATCTTCTTTCTAGGGCTTTGTGAGGAGCAGCCACAATAAGGGGTTCAAAAGTGCTACCAAGAGGTTAAAAGCACTTTTCACCTGTCAGGCAGAACAATAGCACAGGATCAGGGTCACCTTTCCTGGCTGTGAGCAGGCTGCCATACTGTACACCCCATGGGGCCACATGCTGCCCGGCCTGTGGGGAGCAGCTGACTGACCTGAGCCTGCGGGCCTTCCTGCTCTCTCTCTGCACCCAGTAGCTACCAGCCATCTCTGTGGGCTCCGTGTGGTCTGCCAGAGTCCCCTGGGAGCTGCCGTAGGGTGACAGGAGGGCTAACCAATGGCTTCTGCTCAGGATGAGGCCTCGGCCAAGGCCTGAGCTGCTTTGAAACCTTGCGTTTCTGCTTGAGACTGACCTACTTGCCCCTGCAGCCCATCTTCCACTGCCACACCAAAGGTCAGTTTTGAAGTGATGGTCGTCTAGAAATTATGTTTATTCTTGGGAGTGCTTAGGAGCACACAGAAACTTAATTGTGAGAATTAAAAACATAACTCACTTTGCCTTTTAGCAATTAAAGGTACATAGAGCTGCTTACAACCTTATTTTGTGAAAAGAAATTCTAAACACTATCTTTTCTTAATGAATATAAAACATGGATGGTCTCATGATTTATTTTGATCTTTACAGATTCCTCCTCCAGCCCTAAATCTTCCCCTAGTCTCCTTATGAATGTGCTGACCAATGTGACTTTCTGACAGACGTCCAGGAACTGCTTTTTGATCTGCAATAGCCGTGTGCTTGTGCCCACTAAAGCCCTGTGGGGATGGAGTGGCTGTGGGGCCAAAATGCTGGAGACCAGGGTGTCCATGTGCACAGGGTGACTCCTCTCCTTCAGACTGGCTTGTTAATTTATTTTCAATTAAATCCAAGAGAGACAGTGCACACACATTGCACATCTGCCACCCACATCTCACACACCCAAACCTGTTGGGTATGTGGGGTTACGTAAAGGACACACCATTTAAGCATAAATGGGCCCAAGGCCCACTCATGGCCTGGCTCTTGGCTTGGTGTCAATCTGCAATTATCTCCTCTCCAGCTTTTGGCTCAAGTCCCCTCAGAGCTGGCTGGAGAGGGAACCCCAGCTCGCCAGTGCAGCCCCCACTGGCCAGTAGCTCCTGAGCAGCCATGACCTTGCACTCAGGAGTTCAGGCGGAGCAGGACAGACATGATAGCAGGGGAGAGGTCCAGGCAGCTAGGCTAGGGGTGGTGCTGCCTCAGAAACATAGGAGCAAGGATAAGGGGTGGGACCACTCTGAGGAAACATGACTAGCAGTTCACTCTTGCCCTGAACACACTCATTGGGCACACACCTGCACCGCACATGCTATACACCATGCACATCTGCACTGCACACCCCTGCATCACACACATTACATACTGGGTACACCTGCACCATACATATCTGCACTGCCCACAATACACACTGTGTACACCTGTACTGCACACATCGTACACTGTGCACACCTGCACCATACATATCTGCACTGCACACAGCATATGCCATGTACACTTGCACTGCACACACCGTACACTGTGCACCGTGTGCACCAGTACCACACACACGTACTGCACACATCAGCACCGTGTGCACCAGTACCACACACACGTACTGCACACATCAGC